AGTAAAAATTAAATGAAACAGAGCTCTGTATGTAAAAGACAAGCATTGCATCATATTTTAGAGTGATGCTTTGCACAAAGTATCTCAATAGGAAGTAGTGGGAATCTGAACACATTTGCATATTCCCATTCATGACATAGTGTTGGCATTCTCAAGAGTAACGGTAGCTGATGGCAATTTTTATCTGAAGAGATTTGTGCATGTTAGCAATATACTGTCTTCTGTCAACTTAAGTAGAGCATATGGGGCCCATTAACTCACCAAATCTGCCACTGTTCTGCAAATTTTTATTAAGCAAGTGCAGTCCCTAATAGTCACTTATGTTATAGAATGCGTATCAAATGCTATCAATAAGCAAGAGAATTGTTTTCCCCCAGTGAGAATGCATTTGAAGTGTATGAGAAGGCTTGACAAAAGAAAATATTTTAAGTGATCACTGTACTAGTATAAATGTATCCTATTGGGAATCCAATGTATGTATTATAAGCCCTTTAATGTTTGCTGCTAATAAGCTCTCAGAGTGCCATCTTTTTCACAGATTTTTCTCCCCATATTTTCTTGGTTTATAGTTTCTCTCAATTCTAACAATGATCCTGGTTGAGATTAAATCATAAGACACTGTGTGTTTATCCACAGTTTTAAAAAAGGTGACATAAGTGTTGAGCAGTTCTATATAGCTTCAAAGGGCTACAGCAAAGACAGCTAGAAACAGAGGCCATCAGGGTGCTGTTTCCCAAGCAAGTCTTCCTGAACCAGAGGATGCACCAGGGAATTAACAAACATCCAAACCAAAGAGTGTCCTCCTTATGAAGCACTTTACAAGAATTAAATCACTGTCCGTCAATCTTGAGTGGAAGGCCAAGAAGCATGAGCTTAGTATAGAAATCCCATTATCTAAATAAATTCAGAGATAAGAGTAAGTCCACAGTGCTCTCTAAGTATTTAATAACAGTTACAATAAAAATGTCCATGAATTTCATCTTCAGAGGGTTTCAACATTTCACTGATAATGCTTTGATTACTGTAATATCCCTTTAAGTAATCAAGAACAAGTAGTACCCGTCCTTGGGTAAAACTGAAGGATAAGAAAGGGAATATAATAGGCTCTGGAAACTTAAAAAAAAAAGAACAAACGAACAAAAGAAAAAGGAATCCGTCATCAGAACCAGAACAAGAAACTTTGACTCTTGATCCATCAACACTCTCTGACTAGATGCTTTTGGTGCCTCACCATTTTAGAATGGAAGACCTTAACAACACCCAGCTCACTCATTTTTCAATCTCTTGTAAATAAGGTTTTAGTTTGAAATGACACACCTGTCATATTCCTACTGCTACTATTCCAATCGCTGTGCTATCCAAATATTATGCAGTGAAATGAGTAGGCTTAAGCTCCAGCCCCAAGAGATAACCTTAGAGTAGCTCAAAGGTAATCTGAGTTATAAAGGAAGTTGAGTATTAATTATAACACTTGTCATTTTTTAAAAAGTGGTGGTAGTGTGTGTAATTTTACCTCATTTTCTCATTTGCTACTCTTATTTAAATCACTTCCCAGCACTAAGCATGTGCATAAAAGATGACTGTTCCCAGTTTAACCTTTTAAGTAAAGTGTATTCTATTAATTAAGTCATTACAGTCCCCTCTCTTTTCCATTATGTTTATTCATTTATCTTCTATCCTAAAGATAGACATCTGTGTCACTGAATATTTTGGAGAAAGACCTCTAATTTTTATGCCTATCACCCATTTGGTTTTTTTATACTGTTTTTTGAAATAGTGCTCTAAAGAATTTCAAATTGTCAATTAAAATAATGATAAGTATTCCACTAAGAATAATAGTGTGCAGTCAAAAAGTTAAGGAAGTACCATGTTTAACCTAATATGGTTGAGTTTGCAGTACTTAAATTGGCTTAGATTTAATGGGATAACTTATGTCTGTCAAAGAAAAAAGACAAATGCAAAATAACAAAATCTTTGTATGAATCCCTTTTTCAGAATAACCACATAATAAGACCATACAGTCTGAATACTGTATTTCCTTTGCTTTTCTTCCACTACAAAATGAACTAGGAGACAGGTAAACTGAGAGGTAAAACCTGCTGTGGGTGTTGAATTATCCATGCAATAACAATTCAAAGTACCTGTCTGAAGGCATTGTATTCTCTCAAGTGTTTTCTCCCTCTAATCCTTTATAATGCCAGGAAGTGAAATAAACACCACCACCATCATCAAATGCACAACCTTTACCACTCTCAGTTTTCATTTTTCAAAAGTTTTCATTTATTGAAAACTATGTACCTGGCACTCCTTGTGGGGTGTTTTTATCTAAATTTTTCACACAGGAAAAAGGTTGAAAACAACTTAGTAACTTGCCTGGTAAAGCTGACATTCAACTCATATCTATCTCATTATTAACTATCATGTTATTCTGCCTTTCTATTTAGGTTCCTGTTAATAATGATGATAGTAGTCTGTATTTATTAAGCACTTACTATATGATCTTATAAGTACTTTGCATAAATTTACACATGTAATCTTCACTACAAGCCTATGGAGGAAGCAATATTATCCTCATTGTATATATGATGAGATTGAGGCTCAGGGAGTTCAAATAAATTGCATATGTCTAGTAAGTTTCCAAGTCAGGATTTTAACTCAAATGACTTCTCATTTGTGAAATGGGGATGAATATTTTAGCTTAAACTCCTTAGAATGCTAAATTTCCAAACATGTAAAACAAAATTATAGCTAATGCTTGTTGATATTTATCACCACAGAAAGACTTCTATTAATAACATATTCAAATAAAAAGGATACTAATTTTCTAACATAAAAGTATTTGTCAAGTGTTTTTTTTTATTCATGCAACTGATGATTCAAAGAATATAACAAATTCTTCTATGACTTACCACAAGTATAGTAGAGTGGTTAAGACTGCAAGGTTTAAGTTCTGCATCCTCCGCGTTGGAGGTATGCTTCAGTTTCTTTATTTGTATGGTAAAGATCATAATAATAATACCTATCTTTATAGGTCATCAGGAGGATTAAGTGAATTATTAGCTATAAAGTACAAAGGACAGAACCTCCACAATACAGGTGCTCTATGAGTTTTAGCCACTAGTGTTATTACTTTTAAATCATCATCGTTTTCCAGTACTCTTCTATTTATACTGTAGATTCTACTGTAAATTTTTCTAGACCTGAAAAAGCCAGAATTTGGCCCACAATTGGAGCCTGATGAGTATGGACTGACATATCCAACTAGAAATATGAAGAAAAGTCTGATAGGATTTTTAGGAAGTTAATAAAATACTAGAAGAATCACAGACAAGTAGTGTTGTCTAGAAAATAAAGAAATAGCTTAGGAAAGGAGGGAGAGTGGGAGTGGAGAGATCTGTATATAATAACCGCGTTGGTGAAATATGACTGAATGGTGTAGGCAAAGGAAGGAGGGGCATACTCCTCTGAGACCTCTAGTGTTAGGAAAAACAGAAGAGGTCTTCTTTGTCAGCAGAGTTCACTTCACATTGCTCAATCCTTGAGCATCAGATTTTTATAGACTAACATAGCCAATGGCACATAGCAAATAGTGAACAACTATTGTTGGATACTGAAGTGATAATCCACGCAGACAGCTTAAGGATTAAGAACTTCGCATCTATGTTTTTGAGAGATATTGGGTAATAGCTTTCATGTAATGTCATTGCCTAGTATTGGTATCAGCATCATGCCAGCCTCGTCAAACAAGTTGAGAAATATTCCCTCCTCTGAACTTACTGAAAGAATTTCTGAGAATTGGTGTGATTTCTTCCTTGAATGTGTGGTAGAATTCACCAGTGAAGCCATCTGGGTCTAGAGATTTTTTTTGTGTGGGAAAGTTTTAACTATAAATTCATTAAAAACAGCAACAACAAAAACTATAGGGTCATTCAGATTATCTGTTTCTTCCTACATAAGTTTTGGTAACTTGTGTCTTTCAAAAATTTATTTCATCAGAGCCGTGTTAATCTAGGGTTCATTTTTTTTTCACTACTGAAACATGGTTCTTCATCTTCTTCATGGCCCTGAATTATGAATTATGAATTACTCTGGCTATTAGGACTAGGCACTATTCTCAGCCCTGTGTGAACTTCAGACACTTTTCCCATTATACTTTTGGGTGGTTCTTTCCCAGGTCTTGGGTAGTTTCCTCACATGTGTGTGATCATCAGTATATTCAACTAAATAGGAGATCCTCGGCAGATCTCAGCAGGAGTTCTGGATTAAGTCTTTCCTCTCTGGTTCTCTGCCTGCAAATGTCATCTGCCTTGGCTTCCCTGGACATCTAGGTCCATGTGCTCAGGCTGGGATGTCACCAGGCTCTGCTCTGTTTCCCTCCCTATACCACAGTCTGGAAACTTTCTCCAGACAATAAGCTAGAGCAGTTATAGGATTCAACTCACTTGCTTTCCGTCTCTGCTGCCTAATGTCTAATCCCTTGATTGCCACTGTTTCATGTTTTATGTATTTAATTTTTTTTCAAGAGAGATTGTAAATGTGTTCCCTTTTACTCCAGATATAGAAGTCCAGTCCTTGAGAGTATATATATATATATATATATAGCTATCACACTGATAAATTTTATTATATATTATACATTTCTAGGCCCATGAGTTTAATTTCTCCTTTTGTAAGCATGAAAACAATAGCCCAATTAACAGAGCTGAAAGTACTGAAAATCAAAAGAAAATAAAATTATTTTCATAGATGATCTAATGTGTGTGTGTATATATAAAAAATATATATATATATATATATATATATATATATATTTCTTCATAGCTGCCTTTAAAATATCTACCAAAAGAAATGAGGCACCCCAGGTAGGGCCAGGGAACATTTTTTTCTCAATTTTTTTCCAGTAATAGGTTTAACTTCTTATGAATCTGTTTCAATTTATTGTTCAAAAAATGGCTGATTTACAAGCAGGCCTGATCCTTGTCTCTTTTATTTCTTCTCAGTGCCAGATGAAAGCAAAGTCCACTCATTGGCTGCTCACAAATCGGGTAAGAAACTCCTTGTAACTGACTTTATATTCTCCTTCCTGGAAATTGCTGGCTGTGTTTGAGTAGCAGTTGGAACCTATTTCCATCCACTAGTCACTGAAAGGCTTGCTAGTTAATACATGAGATGTCTCTGACTTCCACAAAGATGAATTATTGCTTGGCTGTGTGTGTAGTGGCATAATGTATGCTGACTCAAAATGTTTGAGAGGAAAGGATAAAGGTTTCCAAAAAGTAATAATTATAAAACCAAAAATCTTAAACGTGTTTGCCAGCTGAATGCTTAAAACAACAAAAAAAAAAATTATAAGGAAAATCCAAGGAAGTTTGAAACTCTTTCCCATGATAACTTTCACATTACAGTGGCAGAGCAAAGAGCTCCACAACAAGAAAAATGTGATCATTTCTCCTTAAAAAAGGAATATTTTGCTTGTCATCAAAGAGGATCACAGCCAAGATGGCCGTATTATCTTTCTTTAGACTGACGAATGAGCTCCCTCGTTCCTAGAGGTTCTCCAGGAAGTCCCCAAGGATCTCTGCGAGTTTCCTGGGTCTTTCTCTGTTATGTGGGAGATACCTTCCAGTCGAAAATCCAAGCGTTTCCTTCGTTGCCAAGTGGTTTGCTTCTCACCCTTTGCCCTTCATCGTTGCTTTTTTCACATTAGTTGAAAACACTTAAGAGTTACCCAGCTTACAAATACTACAGGGATCTCTTTCCTCTACGGGTGTATTATTTGGGGAAGAATATCCATTTTACTCTTAGGCTTGCCACTTCAAATAACAGAAGAGTTACAATTTGTTGACATCCCTCTGTTTCTGAAACAAAGAAAGTCTTTCCCGTCACCAAGTCACCAAGCGTCTCCTGTGTTTATGTGCTAATTATGTCTCCAGCAGTAAGTGGCCTCGATGCCTCATTACTTCCATCGTGTTCCAGGGCAAGATTACGATTTTTTTTTCTTTTCCTCTTTCTCCAGATTCTCTTGTGATAACAGCAGGAAAGGGCTGGTTCACAAGTCTTAGATTTTTTTTCTTTTCTGTTGCTCCTAATAAAGAGCCTAAGAGGTTAGATCACCATGAAGGAAAAAGATTTCTCTGAGAGTGATAAACTGCAGAGTGCTGCTTTTCCCCATCATCCTTGTCCATTAAATTCTCTACGACTGGAAATATTTTTAGGAGTCTGAAAAGGAAGTTCTCATGACCAAGGAGCCCCAAGGATAGCCTATGTTATCTTCATCTTCAGTGCATCTTAAATGGTACTGCTTATTGTTAGTTCTGTTACACAGATTAACATTTGAAGGTTAAAGCCTTTTTATGTACTGGGATAGGCTTCAAGGTAAAAAAAATAAAAAATGCAGTTTTTAAGACTGTTTATCAATCTGGTTTTTGAAAATGAGCAAATGAACTTTCTGACTTTTTTCCAGAAAATCAAATCTTATTCTGATCTTAATTTCCAAACAAGTTTCTGTCAGCCAGTGACTAAAAGTTACTGGCACTCTTTTTTAAATGAGAACATTGTTACCTTTGTATATCACTACAGTATTTTACTAAGTTGAATGATACGCTTTTATGTAGTGTGATATAGAACACAGTAAAAAAGAGTGCTTATTTCGGCAGCACATATACTAAAATTGGAACGATACAGAGATTAGCATGGCCCCTGCGCAAGGATGACACGCAAATTTGTGAAGCGTTCCATATTAAAAAAATAAAATAAGATAAAAACACAGTAAAAAAGAATTACCCTAAGTACGAAACTTGAAATAATTTCCAAATTGAAAAAAAATGACAAAAATGGCATAATTTTAAACCTGTTAATTTTTATATCATATGAACCATGCTTCTTAAATATATCAGGTGTTTTAAAGACTTCTGGTTCCTAATGAACTGCTAGTACAACATTCACCGTTTTACATTTCGGAGTCCTCGTATACGCTATCACAGTGTCATTGAGCTTTTCACTGGCCATCTGTAGAATCAGTGCAAATTGCTGAAAACAACCAGAACTTTGCTCACTCTGGAGCAAAAGTGGCATATGAGAAAACCCAATCAAGGGCTAAACAATTACCTAAAATTCTACACCCTAGAGTTGTATTAAGTGAGAGCACTCTAAAACTAGAGACCATCCTGAGAAAATACGAAGCGGCATTAAAGAAAAATCTACAGCGAAGGTTATAAATTTATATATTCCAAGAATATACCCTCCCCCATTTTTTATATTTGTTTCTTTTGGAAAATTTATCTTGAATTATAATGATCCTCAAAAAACTCATTGCTCACGTAACATGCAACACGTACAGCACTTAGAGCAGTTTCTGAGGAGGGGGCTGTGATGGTAAAAGAGGATTAAGGGTCCTTTGCTTCTGGTAATGTCTTTCAGTTACACAAATCAGCTTGAAAATTCACCTAATCTATACAACCGTAGTCTCAATCTGGTACGTCTGTGACCACTAAGCAAGTTACTAGCTGGGCTATAATGTCTAATGGTCCATGATCATACTTGTCTCGCCGGTGTTAAAAGAAATCATTCAGTGTCTTTTCGTTTTACCTTTCCCTTCCCCAAATCTTTCCTTCAGAATATTTAAGTGAAAAGGTGATATCTCTTTTGCTAAAAAGGAAGAGTACCTCCCTCTGTCTCTTTTTAATTATAGAAATGTGGGCAGCTTTCATCCATCCAAGACCATCAGGAAGTTAAATTAAATTGCATGTGCTGACCTGAATCTATCATCCATCTTCTTATTTAGGATGATATTCAACATTTTAATAAATTCATCTGAGTTAAAGTTTCTTCTGAGTCAGCTACTTAGTGTGTAGAGAGCCATTTCATGCCAAGTTCCATCTGTTGGTCTGGCTTGAGTACCTCCCAAATTTGTGACAATATTTTTGGCACCCTTTCCTTGGCTTAATCTTTAAATGGTTGATTCTCCAAAGCCTAGATCAAATCAAAGGCTCAGGTAAGATAAATCTTTCTAATATTGTTGGCCTAAATTGTAGTGTCCCCTTACCCCTTCTGGAGTCAGTTCAGTATTCTTGAGATTTTTCTAACAACCTACCTCAGGGGTTCCCCTGAGTGCATAGCATCTCATACCTTAGCTGGGAAGCAGGCAGGATGTTCTCTTGTCAATCTTGTAGGGTCCTCCTCCATGTTTGAGAGGTATCAGTGTCTCTGGAGTGGTTGAGACCTACCCAGAGAGGTTAAGAACAAAAATTCCTTTTAATTGGTTCCTTTAAGAAAAATCACAAGTTTCAGAGAGCCTTAAAAATCAAAAATGTGTCTTTCCTTATCTTGTTAATTGACAAAATTCTAACAAAATCCAAATCTTAGTAAATGCAGGGGGTTGAAAAAACTTCAGCAAAATGTATATTTTAAGCAATGAAACCAATTTTTAATGATTTCAATATTCTGAGGGAACATTAGAATCCAAAGAAAATGACATCAAATTTGGCATAGCTTTTTCTTTTAAATTATGCTTTAATTTTGATTATACAGACTCATAAACTATATCTGAGAAGAAATCATTTCTTTTTTTCCCCCTACATACTGAGCTGACACCTAAACTAATAGTTTAATGCTCCTCCACATTTTAGTCAGAAAGGACTTACAAATTTTACTTTTTTACTATACCTTAAATTTTTTGTTTTGATTTACTGCTTGGGACTGTTTTAATAGGTATTGACAGTCTGCAGAGATCTTTGCTGACCCAGCTCTTTAAGATGATGCAGTACTAAAGAAAGCCGATGAGTTCTTCTTTATGAGCTCTGACATATTAATTAGCAAAATGGACTAAAAAGCTTTCCTATTTCTATTTTAATTTCTTACATTCTCAAACACCTGTCTATATAGCTGTAAAACAGGCAAGTCTGTAAAAGTAATGGTTGGCAGTAAGTCCAGATCCTTTTCTGAGATAAGTTTATCAATTAATGAACAAATATTCATTAACAGTCTAGGGAGATAGCTCTGTATAGGTGCCTTGCAGCCCCTAAGTGTGTGGATCTCTTAATACATTTTACTAGTGAGGAAGCTGAAGCTCAAGGCATTTAAATACTTGTTCTCCTAGCTGGTACCTAGTATGGGTGAGATTATGAACCCAGATACTATACGGTAAAGCCTACGCGTTACCACCAGCATGTGTCTAACACTTCAGTCCCAGGGACTGAGAAGAATACAATTCTAGTTGGAAGACATGATACAGATATCAAAATATCCCATAAATTCTTACCTTTTGCAACCTCTGACTGAACAAGGAACACCATAAGTAGAATTTCTCTAGCAAACGATTGTAACTCAATGAGCATGAGAAGGACATCTAATCTGATGATTCTTGACTTTGTTTCCCTGCATGTATGTATGCATGTGTATATATATTTATATGAAAATGTGAGCCAAGTTAAGAGATGTATAAGAGAGAAAATATGTATGTGATGTGCATGTATTATGTATAAATTATAACAAATGTGCATGTGATGTGTGTATCCTTATGGCAAAGGCTGAAAGTTTAATATGTAAGTTGCTAACTTGGCAGACCTTACATTCTGTTCTAAATGCATTGTGTGTAAACTTTATATTTAGAATGTTTGAGTGTGGCCAAAGAAATCTCTAGATCTTTCCAAAGAAATAGATCTCTTAAAAGCATAAGGTGATCAGATTATTACTTTAATACAAGAGCAATGTGCTATTAAATGACATTTCATAAATTTTGTTGAATATGCACTTAAAATTTGGAGCACAAACTATAGTCATTTTTCATGAGTCTGAATTGGATTTTTCCTGGCTTTTTATTGTTACTGTGGATGAGGAACTAAATCTTGGAGTTAGTGGGCAGTGGACTTAAACTCTGTTTCTTTTCTCATCAGTTGGTTAAGGTAACACTATATGGTTATATGTTTGGACAAAAATCCTTATTAGGTACTTCCTAAGCTTTTGTCACTTGTTATGTTGGATAAATACAGCTTTAGACACAAGAAATATATACATTCTCACGTCCTCCAGCTTGATTTACATTTCC